CCAAACCCAGCCCCCCGCTCGTGTCCGGGCCTGAGCAGAGAGCGAGGCCGGGGCAGTCGGTGCCTTTCACCTGCACGACTGGAGGGTTCTTTCCTAAAGAGATTGGGGTGAAATGGTTCAAGAACAAGAACCCCATGGGGGGTCAGCCGCCCCAGATCGCCGAAGGGAGGATGAACACCTACAACATGTCCAGCGGAGCGATGGTGACCCTGCAGAAGGATGACGTCCTCTCTCAGCTCATCTGCGAGGTGCAGCACTCCACGCTGCCGTCCCCGCTGCGTGGCACCTACCGGCTCAGCAGAGTCCTGCGAGGTGAGGGCTGGGGGACTCACACTGCTGTCAGCTGCTGTGGGGCTGGGGTCCCTGGGAGGAGGACGGGGGTCCCTGTGGGCAGCAGAGCAGGGGACACCAAACACCGAGCTCTGCCTCTCTTCCCAGTTCCCCCCAGCATCGAAGTGCGCGCTGAGCTGAGCCCCATTGAGGTGAACAAGACCGTGACCTTCACCTGCCTTGTGAAGGAGTTTTACCCAGCAGATGTCTCCGTTTCCTGGCTGGAGAATGGGGTTGAGATAAAGGTGGAGAACGTCTCCCGGCCATCGGAGCTGCCCCAGCGTTTGTTTGAGCTGAGAAGCCAGGTGGAGGTGCAAGCCAGCGAGGAGAAAAACGGGTCCACAATCACCTGCATGGTGGTGCACGATGCCCAGGCCCCTGCCAGCAACTCAACCTTCCTGTGGATCTCCAACCCGGCCCAAGGGGCATTGAGCAACGGGTTGCAGATGGCAAAAGGTGAGTCAGAGCTGCTGGGATGGGGTGCCTGCCAGGGCGGCTGTGTGGTGTCACCCTCTGAGGAAGCTCAAAGCCCCATTAAAATCTGGTTGAAAGACCAAATCTCCATATCAGGGGGCTGGGGGATGTGAAGGTGGCGGGCACTGAGCTGTCCTCCTTGGTGCTTCATGCATTGCTGAGCCAATCCCAGTTGTGGGGCTGCAGGGACTGGGAGGTACCGTGTTCTTGGGCCATGGTGACCTTCTCATTGATGTTTCAGATGATCTGCTCATCTACATCGTGGTGGGTGTGGTCTGCACCATGCTGGCCCTGCTGGTGGCTGCGATTCTATACCTGATCAGGACCAAGCAGATCAAGGGTAAGGGAGCCAAGTGTGTGGCAGGGAGGCAGCTGCTCCCAACCCCATTTTTCCTCTCTTTCCCATGGGCTTCACATTGCCCCATTGGACAATAACTCCTGGCAGTGCAGCTGCAGTCCTGCCCAGTGCGGGTGATGGATAGAGCTGCCCATGTTGTTTGCAGGCTTCAGGGAAAGCTCTGGGTGGTCTAAACCTTGCTCTGCACCTCCTGTGCTCCCCCAGGAACAGTCCTGAACGAAATTGATTGAAACTCCAGGGAATTGCAGGCACTTGCCTCTGGGAAAAGATGTGTCCTTGTCCTTGAAGCAGTCTCTGCATGTGGTCTCTGTGCCCAGGGAAATGGGGCGTTTATCTTCTTTCGTCAATTATTTTTTCCCTATTTTTTTTTCCTGATTTTTTTCCTTCTCTTTCAGCAGGTAAAAGCTCGCCATCTGCCAGGTGAGTGCAGATCTCTTCTAGTCACTTGGTAACCTGTGGGGACTCTGAGCTGGACCTCCAGTCCACAGAGTCCCTCAGGAGTGGGACAGAGCTGTATCCCCAAAACTTGTGAAAGGGAAGGCAGGAGCCCAGTCTCTGCCCATCTCCCCAGCTGGGCTTCTGGGGATTTTTTGCTTGTGGTGGGGCTGAGCAGGCTGATGGGAGCTGGTCTCTGGCCAGGAGAGAAGCAGCTGGACCAGCAGAAGCCAATGCTCAGGACCTGTTTTGCTGGGTGCAGCTGCAAGGACCTTTGCTTGTATCTGACCTCCTCAGCTGATCCATCACCAGAGAAGGGGCAACAGGACCCTCAATCCATCTGACTGTTTTTGTCCCTTCTTCCAGGTTACATGAGCCAGAGAAGAGCAGTGAGGCCACGACACAGGTGGGTCATCCTGGGCCTGGGGAGGGAGAGTGGCCCAGAGCCACTGGAGAGGGGACTGGAGGGTGGTGGTTCATCTCAGCATCTCCACTCTGTGGCTGGAGGTGGAAGGGAGGCTGCCCCAGGAAGAGGATAGCCACTTCCCAGAATCTTTTCTGCCTTCACCCTCCTTCCTCCTCCTCCTTCTTCTCCCAGTAAAGTCTGGGTTGGTGCTGCCTGGAGAACCAGCTGTGCGATAGCCAGCCAGGCTATTTGTGGAGTTATTTTGCATTTGGTGACGCAGCTACGAGCGAAGTCGTGATCAGCAGCAATCTATTCATCCCACCCAGGCTCTGCCAGCTCCCGTGTGGGCATCACTGGGCAGTCTGGCCCTGCTGGGATGGAGTGGCTCCAGTGATAGCTCTGGAACTGTGGCAGTGGTTTTGAAGCCAGAGCAGGGTGACAGGGTGGCTCATGATGTGAAGCTGTAGCATGGGGTAGTGCATGGCTTCAGGGTGGCTGCTGCTGGCATTGTTCCCCCATACAAGCAAGGTTGAGGTGCCCCAGGCTGAGCTGCAGTGGGATTGACTCCAGAACAGGGCTGTGGGTACAGGAGCATGCTCCCAGAGGAGGAACTGTTGGTGCCTCACACAGGAATCCGACCCCAACAACCTGACCTACGCGGACCTGAACTTCGACAAGGAGAGGAAGAGCATCCGGCGGATGGTGGAGATGAGCCAGCAGTCAGAGTACGCCTGCATCCAGACCAACCAGGCGCCCAACGGCGACGACAACCTCACCTACGCCGACCTGGACATGGTGCACCTCAGCAAGGCGCCCAAGCGGCCGGCCCCGCGCCCCGAGGAGGCTGGCTCCGAGTATGCCAGTGTCCAGATCACCAGGAAGTGAGCAGTGGCTGCTGGGACCCCCTGTCCTGCTGGGAGCAGCTCTGCTCCTCCCTAAGACTGTTCTCTTGGAAGCACCGGGAGCGATGTGAAGATGCGCTGCGGTACCTGTGTTTTAGGATGGAAATGGAGCCCGCAATACTTGTGGGGATCTTCTCCCATCCACAGAGACATGATTTTTTGGGGGTAGTTTGGTCCTGGGGCCACCAGCTCCATCCCTTCAGGACCCCCATCAAGGGTTGCTGAACCTCAGTGTGCCGGGTTTGCCCGCAAGCAGATTCAGCCAGCGGGGCAGCAGCTCCTCGGGCAGCTCCAGCTGGGCTGAGGGGACAGGTACAGTGCCTCCACACCAGCTCTCATGGGGATGCCACTGCCTGGCCCACGGCTCCCCAGGACCAGCAGGGCCCCCACACTGCCTTCTGGGGCTCTGCCACCACGCCTGGACACCAAACTCTGGCTTTAAAGGAAGGACCGACGTGTCCTCCTCTCTTCCCAAGTGTCCCTTCTGCGGGACCTCTGTCTCGCCACAAGGCCAAGAGGCTGGAAGGCCGTTGAGCCAAGGCCCCCACCCTGCCGTCCAGGGGCGCTCCCCAGCACCGAGCATCCTCCTCATCCTCATCATCTCCCTGTGCACAGCCTTGCCCTGCGCTGGGACCCCCCGGCGCTGCCCCAGGCTTGTACAAAGCGTGCGAGGGCCCCCCAGCCTGGCTCCCCCCGGGAGCTCCCCGCAGGTACCGTGTAACATGTTTTGACTGTTTGACATGTAACTGTTAATTTTTAGAGCTGAAACCCCCAATGTTTTGTGTTGTACGTGGGTGTACTGCTGTGTACTTAACACTAGAATAAGATGTGAAAAATTAAGACTGAGGCCTCAGTAAAGAATCCCCCAAACCCTACAGAGTTTATAAGAGACTTATATGCTCCCCCCACCCCAGCTCTGTCTGGGGGGCCAAGCAGGCTCCCCCCAGCTCACCCATGGGGACAAATGTCTTCCATGTGCTCCCCACCTGGGCCACTGTGTGGAGTCTCACTGTCTGTTGGCTCCTGCAGCAGTGGAAATGTGGGGGGCTTGAGGACACCTGGGGTCCTTGAGGGTGCTTTGGGAGCAATGTGACTGCTTGTACAGGCCTTTTTCTGTTTTGTTTTGTTTTTCTTTTTGCTTGCAAGATATTTTTATAATAAAAGTGAAAAGTCCTGTGCTGCTCCCGCACATCAGCGTGTCCCTGTGCTCAGTGGGGTCACCTTGTCACTGGCATTGGGGCTGCAGGTGGGGTTGGGGGTCTGTGTGTCCTGCAGGGAGGAGAGGAGGGCTCATCCTGCACAGCCGTGTTGTGTGTGCTGCAGGGAGGGAAGAGGAAGGCAGGAGGTCAAGGCTGGGATGAGGGCTATGGTGCTGGTTCTCCTGGGCATCATGAGGGAGGGGAGCAGTGCACCCCATGCACTGCTGCATCTTTAGGTGCAGGGAGCTGAGCTGGAGCTGGGGTGCCCAGACTGGTGTGCAGGCAGGCTGGGTGCTGGCTCCAGCCCGTGCTCTGAGTGAGCTGAGTGTTCCAGTGCTCTGCAGTGACCTTCCCCCCTTTCCCAACCTGGAGCTGGTGCCTGGGCTGCATCTGGGGCATGACCTGTGTCTCACCAGAGCCAGGAACTGCCCTGTGGGGCTACACAGATGCTCAAAAGGGAAGTTGCTGCCCAGGCTGGGCTTCCTCAGTACTGAGCTGCTGTTGGAAGGGTCACATATGATCAGAAAAGGAACAGTTTGCCCCCTGCCCTCAGCACAACTGTCCCTTCCCTGCCAGGGCAGCAGCTGTGATTCCCAAGGGAGTCTCTCCTGCCTGCTGCTGCAGGAGGTACCTTGCCAGCACCCTACACACCCCTGCAGCAGGCTGAGCATGCCTGCCCTGCACTTGCTCAGCTGAGATGGCCCTGTCGCACTCAGGATATGGCTCCAGAGGTGAGTGGGGTCCCACGTTCATTTTGGCACCCATAGCACAAGAAGGACGCCACCATGTGCTGCCTGCAGGTCTCACAGCCAGCACCCCTGGCCCATTTGGGCACCCCAGTTTGGAGTGCTTGCTCTGCCCTGCAGAGCACGATCAGCACCCAGTGTGGCTTCAGCTTCATTGGCATCTGCCTTTTATTGACTGCGAGGGGGGAGTTGGGTGTTGGGGCATGGGGCTGGCCCTGCCTCTAGAGTCGCTCTTGGAGGGGGAGCCTAGGGGCACCAGGTGGGTGCTGGGATTAGTGGGACACTGTGAGAGGCTCGGGGAGGGGAGTGGGGGCTGGGCTCAGCACTGCTTGAGCACCTGGTGATGGTGCTGTGGCTCCACCAGCCACCTCTGCCCGTGGCCACGGCAGCCACCTCCCTGATCCTGGTTCATTCCCAGTGCTCGGAGCCCCCTGCCCTGTACCTCAGCTGTGATGGTTTCCAGACCCTGCTGTGCTCCAGCAGCCACGGGAGGATGGAGGATATGGATGGATATGTGTCCCCAGCAATACACCCCTGGGAACCCTGGGCTGGGCCAGCAGCCGGAGGAGTGGCACTGCCCCCTCCGTGCACAGGATGGGCAGAATGAACCAGAGAGGGACAACTGGGGATGGAACTCATGGTCCCCTCAGGGGAATGAGGCAAGAGTGACACCAGCCACACCGGGCTGGGCAGGGGGCAGGGCTGGGGGACGGCACAGTTGGGGTGGCAGTGTGGGGACCACGGTGCTGCCGTCCCATGCCTGGCTCTACAGGTCTGAGACCTCCCCTGAGTAGGCGCTGGGGTCCTCGTCTGACCGCGTGGTCACCTTGAACTGCCTCCGCAGGAAGCCCCCGTAGCGCTTCTGATTGTCCCACTTGAGCTTGGGCCTGATGCGGCGCAGGAAGCCCCCGTAGCGCTTGTGCAGCTGCGCCAGCTCCGGCCCCTCGGCCCCGGCCCCCGTGGGCTCTTCGTCCCCGTCCCCTGCCGGCCCCGGGTAGTCCTCGGGGGCCGCTCGCTCCCCCGGCTTGCGGCTGAAGGCCCCGGACTTCTTGCTGAGGCCGCCCTTGCTGTGAGCGTTCTCGCGGAGCAGGGACAGCAGCTTCGCCTTGGACATCATCTTCATGAAGCCCCCGTAGCGCTTGGCCGGCGCCAGCGGCAGCTCTGCGGGGCCCAGGCCCTGCTCCGGCTGCGCCTCATCCTCCTCCGCCTCCTGTGGGGACGGGTCTGTCCCTTCGGCCAGGGCCACCAGCGGGGCCAGGAGCGCCAGCACCTTCCTGCACATCTCCCACTCGGGGCCGGGTGACGAGGAGCCCTGGCATTCCCACAGGCACATCTGTAAGACAGCGGCCGGGCAGCCCCGGGTGCTCGGGCTGAGCCCCTGCCTTTGTCCCACGCCACCCCAAGCCCAGGGGGCTGTGCCCACCGTGCTGCTCAGCTCAGCGAGAAGCCAAGGTTTGCACAACCCCAGCACCCTGGGGTGCCCATGACCACCACACCAGGTGCCACCCAGCTCTGCCCCCCTGCACCCGTGACGCTGCACTGCTGTGGCTCCCTGGCTCAAGTCCGTGTGGGGCCAGCACTCACCAGGGGCTGGACGCTGCTCTCGGCACCGCGGCTCTGGGCTGCGCAGAGGGAGCACTGGGTGACGCAGTCGGCAGATGCCACCGCAGACAGGGACAGGCAGAGTGCCAGTGCCAGTGCCCGTCGTGCCATCTCGCCCTGCAGCCACTGCCTGGAGAGGGAAGACAGCACAGAGCCTGTCGCCATCCCTGTGCCAGCTCTGGGGGGCCATCGCCACTCCACAGGCACTGGGCACCTACCACCTCCATCTGTGAGCTGCTCCTGGGATCACACACAGGGACCCGTGCCCGTGCCCATTCCCATGTCACTCACCTCCAGGTGCTGCTCCCACCAAGGACACCACAAGATGTGACCCCTTACCCTGGCTGCATCCTAGTCCTTGGCACAAGCCCAGAGCCACAGCCAGTCCCTGGTGGCCACCAAGTCACTATGGGCAAGACCACTGTTGCATCTTATCTCATCTCAGTTCCATCCCATCTATCCTCTCCATGTCTTACCATACCATTAGAAAGAAAAGTCCCTTTTGTTCCCCAGCATTGGGTTTCTCTGTGATTGCCACGTCTGCATGGTGCAGGCAGATGAATCACCAGCTCTTCCCCTTGGCCTTGGGGAAAAGAACCACAGCAAACGGAGCTGTGGTGGCGAGGGGATGGGGTGAGGCCATGGCCCAGTGTGGACTCACCCCAGGCTGCTTAACCCCACACCAGTGCAGCCTCATCTCCCCTCCCTCGCACCCACCAAGTCTGCTGGGCTGGTGCATCAGGAGAAAGGGGGGAAAAGGAGGACTCTGAGTTCAAACCTACCTGCAGACACCATCGCCATCCTCCAGACATGTGAGAGCTGTGGTGGAGCCTTTGGCCTCTGCGGATGGACGAGGACACTGTGCTCAGCTGGGAGAGGGGTTCTGCAGGTGGCAGTGCCAAACCTGACTCCAGGTGAGGCTGGAGGGGCCACTGCCAACCCCAGCTGCAGTGCCACAGGATCACCGTGCCATTGGAGCCATGACAGCCCTGGAGCAAGAGCCAGCCCCAAAGGGTGCCCTGCTGCAAGCCCCTGCCTGCCTCCGTTGCTGCTTTTTATCTAGGGTGGGTAAGGCATGACCCAGAGGGATCTGTTACACATTAATGACGCATATTAGAGACTATTGTGCTCTCTAGCAGTAGCTGCTAATGTACTGTAATTGGTACTGATGAAGAATTGTTAATGCCACAGTATTAATTCATGCTAGATTAAAATTTAATTTGAATTATCTGCACCATCGTGTGTCGAGCTGTCTGCATTCCTTGGCTGCACAGCCACCAGCTCCGTGAATCCTCCCTGTGCCCTGGCAGTGTGGCAGGATGGCAGCTGCCCAGGATGGCAGGGGCTGAGGGATCTCAGCCAGCCCTCACCACTGAGACACGGGGACAGTCCCTTATTGCATCAGGGCCACCGAGACAGCACCGAGGAGCGAGGACAGGCCAGCCACACAGGTAGGTGCCAGCTGCAGCACTAGGGGGGAGGAAGCTCCCAAAAAGAGCTGATGACTGCTTCGCAGGAGCCCCACTGGGAATCTTTTCCTTCCCTTTCCACACCTGCTTCCCCTCCCTTGCTCCTCTGCTGCCGGTATCCCCGTGGGTGCCGCCAGAACAGCGCAGGAACGGCACCGGGAACGTTCCCATGCTTGTCTGACACTGCACAGTTCGGACCTCTGGCATTCTGGACAGTGTGTCCCATCCCTGTCACCCTACTGCTGGCAGAGGATTTCATGGCACTCAGGGGAGCTGCAGTTCTCCGAGCACGGCGTGGCCAAGGACACCCCACTGCACATGTAGCGTGTCCAGGTGGTGCCACAAATGTCCCAGCAGTGCTCTGCCCGCTCCTGAAGCTGGGATAAGGAGGACTGGCAAAACGGGAGCACGAAAAGGAGAAGAAAACAAAGGGCTTTGGACAAAAGAGGAAAGAAGCAGCGAGGAGGGAAAAGCGAAATGAACACAAAGGGAGAAAGAAGAAAAGCTGAGTTCAAGCTCAATCCTGTGTTACCTGGAGGAGCCCAAGGCTCCGGAGCCATCCCTCCTGCAGGAACATCTTGGAAGGATCGTGGCAGGATCTGACAATGCCAGCATTGAGTCCCAGCCTCTGTGGCCACTCTCAGTACATTCCACCTGTGCCAGGTGCCTGCCGGTGTCCCTTCCTCCCCTGTCCCATTTCCACTTGAGTCTTCAAAGACCAGGCTTTACTTTGGAAAACCCCCAAGCTGCATCCATGCACCCCAGGGGCCAGTTACAGACCTGGTGACCCAAAGGAGGGATGAGGAACCAGGACTGTGTGTGCTGGACAGCAGAGACTGGCCCCATCTTGACTAACCTGTGATTATACCTAACAAAGGATGTTTGAATGGCTCTCCCAGACTGAGCAGATCCCTCCTCCCACACAAGTCCAGCTCCACAGGTTCTGATCCTGCACATAGCTCTGGTGGAGAAGAACAATCAACCTTCCAGCATCTCCTTTCCTCACCTCTAAAAATTTCCTGGAAACACTGTCAGGACAAGGCTTCTCCAAAAAGCTGGTAACTTTTGGAATAGAATCACTCAAAACTCAGCACTACAGCCACAGTACTGCTTGACCAAAGGAAGGGGAGAGAGAATCCCCCATCCTCTCTGCCCGCTCCCTTTGCCCCTCCAAGCCCTGGGTGATTCTGCTGCCAGGACGGATGGAAATGAATCCCAGCAGAGCTCTGGACAGCTGTTCATGGGCTCTGAAACCACTCAAGGGATGAGAGGGACCTGCAGCCATGTGGAAGCTCCCCAAAATAACACAAGTCCAACCACAAGCCGCTCTCAGCAGCGCTGCTCAGGGGGTGTTCTTAAACTGTTGCTTTTTGGGGAGCAAGAGCGATATCCCCTGGTTGTGCCCACGCAATGGAAGGGGGATGACAACCCCAGCAGCCCTACCTGCCGCTGCTCCCCGTCCCGCCGAGCACCTGCTTCGCCAAGTCAGGACGTGGCTGATGGATGTCCCTCCACGGGCGTCAGGCTGTGCCAGTCATCGGTGGCAAGGCCACAGTGGCAGGTGGCCCCACGGTGCCGCCCGAGTTGTCCACCGGACTCGCCGGCGGCTGCTTCTCACCCCGCTTTTATGGCCACGGAGTCTCCTCCTGCGGCGGGGCCCGGCTGTGCGCGGCGGCAGAGCCAATCGGGGCGAGGGAAGCTGTGAATAATCAGCCCCGCAGCATCCCCGCCACCTCCCGAGCAGGCTCGCCCGCACCGCCGAGGCCTCCCCGCAGCCCCCGGCCGCCCCGGGAATCGGGGTGCGCATCCCACCGCTGCGCCTGCATCACTCGGAGATTTCCGTCGTGCCCAGCCGCGGTCAGAAACGCGTGTCCCAAACAAGGAAGGTGGCAGAGAAGTGGGATGGGGTCTGGCGGTCTTCCCAGACAGCTGCTTCCCACAGGGGTTTGGCTGAATCTCCTGGACACTGAATTCAAATCGTGTGCTTCAAGAAGGGTGGAGGGGGAAAGGTGAATCCCTGACCTCCTCTCACCCTGTTCCCCAGGCTGGGAAGAGGCACCGTCCTCGTGGAGATGCTGGGGAGAGAAGTGAGCCCATCCAAAGCTGCTGGGAAGGGAGAGAGGGTCTTCATGCCCCGGGAAAGGGATGTCCCAACCCACCCAGCCTAGCTGCTGTCAGGTGAAAAAGCCTTTGCATAGAAACCCCCCAACCTCTGCAATGCCAGAGCTCAGAGCCCAGCTCCACATCTCCCTGAGCCCCCTCCTCATGAGGGCAAACACTGAGATGAGCCAAAGAGGCAGGGGGGGCTGGGTGGGGGGAGAAAAACACCCTCACTTTCCCCACTCAGCCCTGATTCCTGTTCTCACACATTTCCAAGTCTGATGTGGGGATAAAAGAGAACGGCACTGGGGCAATGACAGGCAGTCCCTGAGCCCCTGCACCCCTGTCCCACTGCACCATGTCACAACACACGTGTGGGATGGGGGTCCGAGGCGCAGACCCCACAGGACATCCTGCACCGGCCCCCCACACCCCGGTGGGTGCAGACACATCCCCTGCGTCGCTGGCAGTGCAGCCAGTCCTCTCGCCTTGAAGATGGAGCTATTTTTATCGGAGCTCAAGAGGGATGTTTCCCAGCAACCTCGAATGTCTCCCAGCTCGAACACCAGCTGCTGGACCTGGTGCCCCCTTGCTCAGCCCTCCCAGCACTGGTGAGGGAAGTGGGGGCCATGGGCACTGCTGGGATCCTCTGCTGGGCACCCAGCAGCCACGGCAGCCTGTGCCCGTGGTCCTGTGTCAGGGATGGTGATCAGGTCCGTCGGTATCCCCCCAGCTCCTTGAAAAGCAGGCGGGACCCCACGGCTTTTGTCTGGAGGAGGATTTTAACTCATCCAGGCTGGGGCTGTGCTAACACGGAGGGATCAAGGGAGCAGGGCATGGGGCGGCGGGGAGGGCAGAGCCCTGCATCCTCCTCAGGGCCATCGGAGGAGCCCATCCCTCCATCCCTGGTGCTGCAGAGAGGGGGGATGGAGCTCAGGTCCCGCAGGGGCAGAGGGCGGCCGCGGCCCCGCCTCGCAGTGTCGGGGTGTGCTGGGCTGTGCGGGCACAGAACAAAAGCTGAGAAGAACAAAACGCATCTGCAAACGACCACAACTCCCCGGGCGAGGGGTGTGGGCAGCCCTCGGGCGGTTTAACCCTTGCTGCTGTGTCTGATGGCCGTGCGGGCACCACAGACACGGCGCGGGGGAGCATTTCCACACCAAAGCCATTATTTTTATATGAATATGTATATACGCACCCAGCGGCCTCGGGTGCAGCCACCTTCCCGCACAGGGTAATTGCACACGAGGGAGATGTGTTAGAGATAGAGCAAATCCTAAGAGGGAAAAGTCGTTTGGAATAAGATTCCTTCCCTTTGCTCCGGGTGGGAGGTCGAGTTACTCCAGTCCCCAGAGCAAAGTGCCACAGATCTACTGAGCTGGGTAAGAGGGTCCGCCACGGGTCCAGGGCGTGGAGGGTGTCAGGGTCCCCCGGGAGAGGAGCTGGGAACCAGCCCACCCACCAGCAATTCAACTTAATATTCATCTGTCTCTTCCTAATGGAAAGCGTCTCTGAGTCACACTGACATTTCCCTGGGACAATGGTAATTAAGTACCTGGGTAAGTGAAATGCGCGGTAATAGAAAAGTTAACTTTTCCTAACTACATGAGTGAAAGGCGCGTTCGGCGAGGAGGGGGCCGAGCGTGCCAGGCACCCGCGGAAGCAGGTGGGAGTTAATGCCAGCTCACATCACACGACGCTGCCACTCTGCCCCTGAGCCCCCAGCCCCCCCAAGGACTCTGCCCCAGAGCAGACAGGGCTCCCCATGCCGGAATGGGGTAAATCGCCCCTGCGGCTGCTACAAGCTCTGCCAGCCGCCGCGGCTGTCCCCAAGCAGAGGGACCGCGACCCAGAGCTGCCGGCGCTGTGGGTCCTCCAGCACGGTCAGCTTTATCCCATTCAGGGACAGGGCTTTTCCAGAAACTCCCAAAACGTTTGCATTGTTTGCTGCAGGCAGGAGATGGAGGTGTTCAGACACATTTTGCGGGACAAGGGAAGAAACACCGGGTGGGCGATGCCCGGGGCCGCAGCGGAGCGAGCCTCCGGCAAAGGGAGCACCGGAGCAGGGGGCGGCCAGCGCTGCCCAGGCGGGCACACGGTGACCTCCCTGCGTGGGCAGGAGGCACAAGTGCCACTCGAGGGCGGTACGAGAAGCGGCGCTCTCGTAAACACGGCGAGTCACGCCGCTGCCACCGGCCCCGCCGCTCCGGGCTGCCGAGCGGCACCGGGGGCACGGGGCTGCGGCACCACCCCCGCAGCCTCCCCGGGAGGTGGAGTGGCTCTATTTAAAAACAAATTGAGGTGAAACCACTTTCAGGAGCTGCAGCAGGCGCCGTGACACCGCGGGGCAGCCCCGCATTAGAGTCGCCGGTGGCTCCGGGGGTCGCCGTCCCTTTCCCGGGGGGACCAGTGTGACGCAGCCGAGAGCTGCTGGGGCAGCGTGATGGCAGCGGCACATGGCTCAGCAGTGGGTCAAGAAAACAGGGAATTTTGAGAGTTCCCCCGTGAACCTGCTCTGCAGACGCTGTCTTTGACCGGCCACAGTGCCCGCTGCCAACGGCACCGCGCGGGGGGGCAGGAAAACACGGCAGAGTCGGCTAGAAAAGTACATTTTGCGGGGTCGGATCGCCGTTCCCTCCCCAAATCCACGAGGAGCGAGAGGGCGGCGTGCAAAGCCCCGAGCCCAGGGGGCTGCCAGCAGCGCCAGGAAGAGGATGAGACCTCCGGGCAGCCCGGAGGGGACGGTTTCACAGCTCCGGCAGCATTCGGGGACCCGTCCCCGGCTCCACGCTACCCTGGGGTGCCCCCAAAACCCTCGGTCCCGGCCCGCAGGGATCCTCTCGGGATCCTGTCGGCATCGCAGCCACTTTCCCGGGAACTTCCAACTGGAAAGTCCCCGGTGATCACCGGCAGTGGGGTCGAACGGTCGGGGTGAGCGTGGCGCCGGGGAGGGGTCCCCGAATGCGGCCGGAGCTGTGAAACCGGCCCGGAGCCGCGCGCCCGCCCCTCCCGGAGCGGCTGCACAGCTCCAGCCCGCCGAACACCCGGTACGGCGCGCTACCCGGGGATATACCGGGAGCCGAGGATTTATTGAGTCCCGGGGCACCAACCCCTCCCCGGGGAATTACCTACAACGTGTGCACCGCCCCCCCTCCCCGGTGCCCCGTGTCCCGGAGCATCACTCCCCTGTCGGCATCATCACACACGGCCCTCCCGGTGCCCCCGGACCCCCTGTACCGCACGGGCACCGCTCCCCTCAAACCCATCCCGGGGCATCCCGCCCGTCCCGGGGCGGGGGGAGGGGGCTGGCGGGGGCGGGTCACCCCCCCGCCGTTACATAAGGGGTTACGTCAGGGCGCGCGGCCACGCTCTTATCCCACCGCCGCCGCCGTTCCCCCACCCCGCCGCGCAGCGCCCGGCCCGGAGCCGCCGCCGCACCCCAGGTGAGCCCCGCGGGCCGGGCCCGAGCCCGCAGCGCCTCCCCCGGGCCGCACCCGGGGTAACGGGGGGAGTCCCGCGGCGGGCGCCGGGGCCCCCATGACCGCCCTGTTTACACCGGCGCGGCGCGTACCACCCTGGCGGGGGAGCGACAAGGGCCTGCCGCCGCGCTGAGCCCCGGCCGCGCCAAGCCGCGCTGGCGGCGCCGCGACCCGGCTACCGGGGCCGGGGCGGGAAACCCAGGCCTCCCTTTCCGAGTACGCGGCCGGCACCGAGGACAGGCCGAGCCCGGTGGCGGCGGCCGCCGTCCCCCCCCAGCGCCGCGGTGGTTGGGCCCGCGCGGCCGCGATTGGCCGAGCGCTTAAAGGGGCCGGCAGCGCGCGCTTTTCCGCCCCGCGGCGCGGCCGCGGTATCGGCGCGTGCCCCCTCGCCCGCGCGGCGCTGCCCGGCACGCGGGGCGGGGGGGGCCATGGACGGCGGCCGCCGCGGGACACAAAGGACGGCGCGGCGGCGGCGGGCGGCTCGGCGCGGGGCCATGGCAGCGGCGGGGCCGGGGCCGGGCATCGGCGGCGGCGGCGGCCCGCGGTACAGCCTGCTGGCCGAGATCGGCCGCGGCGCCTACGGCGTGGTGTACGAGGCGGTGTCGGGCCGCAGCGGCGCTCGGTTGGCGGTGAAGCGGATCCGCTGCGACGCTCCCGAGAACGTGGAGCTGGCGCTGGCCGAGTTCTGGGCCCTGACGAGCCTCCGGCGGCAGCACCCCAACGTGGTGCGCTTCGAGGAGTGCGTCCTGCAGCGGCACGGCCTGGGGCAGCGCATGAGCCACGGCAACAAGCGCAGCCAGCTCTACCTGCGCCTCGTCGAGACCTCCCTCAAAGGTACCGCACCCCCGGGGCACCCCCGGCACGGCCCCGCGCCCTCCCGGGCCACCCCCCGCCTGCCCTCCCGCACCCGCGGCCTCCACGGCCCTGTCCCTGCCCCCCGTGCCACCCATCCCCACCCCTGAGCACCTGGGTCTGCCCCCATCAGTGACCCCCACGCCCAGATCCCCCCGCTCCCTGGGATGCCCCGTGCAGGACATCCTGGTTTTGTCTTTCCCTTACACCTCAGACACTGCTGCTGCCCTTGCTTGCTCCCCATCACCCTATTGCTCAAATCCTTCCTGGGTATTGCTTGTGCTTAAGAGCACCCAAAGCTTCCCTCAGCTCTCACAATGCCCTTCCTCCCACCCCTCCCACCTTGACTCACTGCTTTTCCTGTTCAACTGCCCCTGGGCTCTCCCCACTGTGCCCCTGAGCACCCATCAGCCCTGCACTCTTGGGATCCTCTCTGGGGTATCTGCTCCAGGCTTGCTCCCATTAGCCATCTCTGTCCTGTCCCTGCAGGGCTCCCCCACAGGGTCTCTTTGCTGCCACTCACCCTGAACACACCTGAGGGACCTATGTTCTGGATTCTATCCCCCCATGCTATGCCATCCCCTCCACTCTCCCTTTCCTGTGTGATGCTCCCAGGAACCATTCCCTAAGTCCCACCCATGTCTTGCAGCAGTGCCAGTGGAGTCCCTCCATGTGCCCTGCAGACCTGCCCCCAGTCCTGAGGGACCCTGTTGCCACCTCCAGGCTCAAACCTAGCCCCTGGGGGACAGCCCTGTGTGCTGGACCCCTGGCCAGCACTGACTTGTCCTCCGTTACCCCCCAGATCCATCTGCTGCCCTGGCCTGTGCCACAGCCCACACACATCCCCTTGGGGACCGTCATAGCCTGTGCCCCAGTCACAGCAAGGGGACATCTCCCCCTTTCTGCCCAATGTACTGTCCCATCTGCAGCCTGTTACAGCTAAATATCTCACTGTCCCTGTGTCCCACCAACTGCTGGCTCTGTGGGAACAGCCCTGGAAGCACTAATGCTGTAGCCTGGGCTGATACCCTCATTTTCCCCTGGGGACCCTCAGCAGCATTATGGGGCTGTCGGGGGTCACCTTCTCCTGTCACAGTCGATAGTTGTGATGGTGACATCTCCGAAATGCTCCCTCCCTCTCCTCCCTTGGCTGCTTGTCAGACCCAGCTTTGCCAATGTGCTGTGAAGATGTGGAAAAATACAGGAGCCCTGTGCCCCTGATGCCCCTGTGCCTCCCAGCCTGCTGTGAGCAGAGCTGACCTCCCCAAACTTGTATGCCAGGATTCCTGTCAGCTCCTTGGGGTGCTCAGTCTCCCTCAGCCCCCAGACCCTGTGCCAGGCAAAGAGTTCCTGAAGAGCTCCTGGGATCCATCCTCTGAGCAAACCTGTGGCTCTGCCTGTCCCTGCCTTGCCTGTCACCCTCTGTGTCCCTGGTGAGTGGACATGTCCAGACGTGCCTGGCCCTCTCTGTGCATCCCAGTTCCTGCTGTTCCTTCACACAACCACCCAAGGGAGGCTCCCTGAGAAGGGCAGTGTCCAAATTCCTGTACAGCCAGGGCACACAGCTCCCTGGGAGAGCAGCCAGCTCTTCCATTTGGGTGTGTCCAGCTGTAGCAGGAATAGGGGGTCCTGCCTCCTCTGTCATGTTCCATGCCCTGAGGAGGCTTGGCTTGGGGAATGCTCTTGGGTAGCTGGAGATGACCCATCTCTGGGGGGCATTGAGCCTCCTGAACTCCCAGTGGGGAGGGCTTTGCCTGCCCTGGTCCTATGGCCGCCCCTCAGAGGGGAGCAGAGCTGGGTTCTGCATCCCCAGCCTAGTCAGGAGTAGTTTGACTCCCAAAACCAAGCCAGAGCACATTCTCCTTCCCATCTGCCCGGCTGCCCTTGGGGCTGTGTTGTGCAGGCAGCCTGTGCTCGCTGCCTTCCCAAGCCTTGGGGCTGATAGAGGTGGATAAATATTTTCCAAACAAGAAGCTGGAGCTGGATGAGCCCTGCAGGTCTCCTGCTCTCCTTCCCTGGCGGCAGCAGAGCAGTGGAGCTGTGCTGCCGTGCCATTCTGCACGACCGCAGCTGGGCTATTTACGGGCCAGCACAGATGCTGTGCCAACGTGCTGGGGCTCAGACACGGCGAGGATTAATCTGAGACTTTCTGAACCGGGAGTGCAACTGCCGGGACAGCAGGCGGGGTTTGGTCTCAGGCTACTACAGAGCCTGAACCTTCATCATTTTAACCAGATGTGGAGTAATTAAATTTAAGGGCAGGGTGTGAAAAGGAAGGTGGAAGAGAGGCACCTGAGCCCTGTCACAGGAGCACCTCCAGTGTTTGTGCACATCACATGCCCCTCTTGTTCCTAACCTAGAGCTGCCTTAAGTGAACAGGTATAAGGTGTTGCATCCTGTTCCTCCCATGTCATCTGTGGGGCCATCAACCTACCACCAGCACTCAGCCTCACTCATGGGCTGCCCTGGCATCACCTGTGTGTGTTGCCATCATTCCAACTGCCTGGAATTCCATGCTGCCAGCTCCTATCTCTCTGGTGCAGCCTCCTTGCACAGAGGGAGTAAGAGGTTACATGTGTTTGTGGGCACTGGGATGCTGCTTCTGCTCTCTCAGGATTTTTATTTCCCCTGTGAAGCTAAGGAAATTAGCACGCTGTTAATGAGCTCCCCAGGATGGTGGGGGGGAGGTGTGTGTGTGCTGCTGGAAAGATGGAGTGCGAGTGTATGCCATGCTGTGTTTGGGCAGGGAGCACATGGGGATGCTGGCTTGGTGATAGAGAACAGGTCCAGCCTGTCACTGGCATCTCCTCAGCTCTTGACTGCTTGTCTTCAGTTTGCTAACATCTCTAGGGAGCATCTTGCCAGCTCTTTATGTTTAAAGCTGTTTGTTTTGAAAGCAGGAAGATGATTTAACAACTAAAACACTTTCGGATTATAGAAAGAAAACGAGGAAATATTACTTTTGGCTTAAGTCTCTACTCAAAATGCTCCACCCAAAGTGAAGTGCCTGGTGCTCACAGCAACTGCTGGATCCCCATCATTTTTCATGTGTTTGCTGAGGTTCAAGGGCCAAGTTTTAAGTCAGAGCCTTCCTTATGCTAAAAAACAAACCTTGTCTTGTCAGAGCTAACAGGTCCTGCCTGCTGCTGAGTCAGTGTTTGAGCCACTTCCTGTGGGAAGGGGCTGCCAGCAGTGCTGTGTGGATGCTCTCACCTGTCTGTGTGTGAGGAATGTGGGGCTCTGCCCTGCTCCCTGCATGGTTTGGTTCCTGGCAGAGAAGAGACAGACACTCCTGCTCCGTGTTTGGGCTGTGTGGCTGCAGAGGGAAGCAGGAAAGCCAAACCCTGTGTCCTGCTGTGATGTCCCTGGGATTTAACAAACCAAAGTGGTGGCAGCTGTGTGAGCTGAGGCTGTCCTGGCTGTGCTGGGGTCTCTGTTCTCAGGACAAGCAGACTCTTCTTCAGCTCCCATGCTGTCATGCCAGAGGTGGCTTGCACCAGAGAAGCTGCATTTCCTGGTCAGCATTTTGGTCTCCAGAGCCAAGCTGTCCTGTGCTGCTCCCAGCAGGTCTTTGGGCTTTCATGGACGTGCATCCAGTGCCCTGTGTAACTCCACCCTGTTCTTTCATCCCCTAGATCTAACCTTCAGACTTAATCTCGGCAAAAAATTGCTGAGGATGGGGAGGTGCAGCCAAATCCTTCTGTTGTGCAGATTTCAATTTCCATAGCAGTAGCCATGGATACAGACTGTTTGTGCAAATAACCAATATTCCCACCCACACTGACTGCTGACCAGTGCAGCCCAGGGCTGGGTGTCCCTGGTAGTCCTTGGCTTTACCTGCTGCTGGAAGTTTCTTGCTTTCCCAGATGCTCTCTAGGGCTTTGCTCAAACAAAACCCAACTTTGTCAAATGGGTGGAGTTATTTAACTGCTTTCAAAAACACTTGAGTTCAGCTGTGGGACTTTTTAGCTGTGGCAGAGGTGAGTGGTGTCCTCCAGCTTCTCTCTTATGGTGGTTGAGAATAAGAAAATAAATTTCTAGAGCAAAATGATGCTCTGCTGGTGTGTGTGGGCTCTGCCAGTCACCTGAATGCTCTCTGGAGGAGACTTGGGGTCTGACCCTGGGGTTTGCATTCCTGGCATGAGCTAATGGGGATGGATCTGTTGCCAATGCTCCCTGGGGTATCCTGGCTTCTCTGGGGAGCACCAGTGGCAGACTTGGCCCCATTAGCTGATATTATGCTGTTGTGTTCTTCACGCATCTAATTGATGTGCAAGAGAGTCCTTCCTTAGGCAGGAGTTTTATGGAGTAAAGCCTGAGATGCTCTGAGCTTGAGGAGCCAAGTTTGATGTCTGGTGAAGGAAGAAGCTGTTTGAGGTGTAATACTGAGTTGTAGGAGTACTTACAGTCACAAGTGTGGCTGAGATTACACTCAGCAAACATTGTTTGCAGCTTAGACCTCCAGTTTCCTTATATTAAAGTCTTGTTGGCACTTAATGAAAGCTGGATGAAGTGGCAGAGTTTCCTCAGCACAAATGCAATCCTTAAATGCACAGTTTTGGTCTGGGAAGACCCAGGGGCCATAGGGCTTGGATGCTGGTATGGCCACTCTTGGCAAGACTGTGCTGGCACAGTGTTAGGGGCTGTGGTTTATTCTGTGTGCAGCTCTAGTAAAGTGTGTGGAACGAGCTAGCCTTTGCCTCCTGCAGCAGAGCTTAGGTGGGAGAGGAGGCATTCACAAAAGTGATTTTATTTTTGCTGTAGACTCACTGCTGATTGTGCTTTTAACCTCTGCTGCTTTGGCTGTCAGAGCCTGGGGAGAATGGCCTGCTGGTAGGACTGAGGAAGATGTGTTCTCTGCACTTTGCTGGGAGGAAGTCCCTGAGCTGATTCCCAGCAGTGGGTCTGGATAAACACAGTGCTGGTGTGTCCTGCTCAACAGGATCCCAAAGCACTTGAAGCCACAGCAGTGGTGCCTTGCAGTGCAATAGGTCCCAGTCACATTCCCAAAACTTTTACTATGCACATAAACCAGACCTGGGTCAGTGTGGACTTTGAAATGTGTCTAAAAAACCCGTTCTTTTATCCCTTTTGGTCAGGTGAGAGGATCCTGGGCTATGCAGAGGAGCCTTGCTACCTGTGGTTCGTCATGGAGTTCTGCGAAGGGGGAGACCTCAACCAGTACGTGCTGTCCCGAAGGCCCGACCCTGCCACCAACAAGAGCTTCATGCTGCAGCTGACCAGTGCCATTGCCTTCCTGCACAAGAACCACATTGTCCACCGGGACCTGAAGCCAGACAACATCCTGATAACTGAGAAATCTGGCACTCCTGTGCTCAAGGTGGCTGACTTCGGGCTGAGCAAGGTCTGTGCTGGCCTGACTGCTCGGGGCAAGGAGGGTGGGCATGAGAACAAAAATGTGAATGTGAACAAGTACTGGCTGTCCTCGGCCTGTGGCTCTGATTTCTACATGGCACCCGAGGTGTGGGAGGGACACTACACTGCCAAGGCTGACATCTTCGCCCTCGGCATCATCATCTGGGCCATGATTGAGAGGATCACTTTCATTGACGCCGAGACCAAGAAGGAGCTGCTGGGGACTTACATCAAGCAGGGGTCTGAGATTGTGCCCGTTGGGGAAGCGCTGCTAGAAAATCCAAAGATGGAGCTGCACATCCCTCAGAAACGCAGGACTTCCATGTCTGAGGGGATCAAGCAGCTCTTGAAAGACATGTTGGCTGCTAACCCACAGGATCGACCTGATGCCTTTGAGCTTGAAACCAGAATGGACCAAGTTACATGTGCTGCTTAGATTCAGGGCAGGGCACCACTGTGCTTTGCAGCTGGGTAAGTGATGCACATTTTTTGTCTTATTTCTGTCGCCTGTACTGGCCCAATAGTGCACTTTGTAGTGACACAAAGGAGTCTTTTATGTTCTTAGAGCTATTTCTGTAGTGACTCATCAGAGCACTGCTTCTGAGGTTGTTTTCACCTATTCTACTGCAAAAATAAAGTAGAGGTGAGAAATAGAATTAGCAGCTGCACATCCTGTCACTGCCCAAGGGCCCAGTGGAGCTGGAAGTGCTGGGCAGGAGCCTTGCTCCTCAGAGGTCCTCCTGGCTGGTGGCTGAGACAGGCTGCGGCACAGCAGAGACACCTGCAAGCACTCAGTCTAAGCTTTGGTGACATCTGTCTCTCTCGGGGTCAGGGAGGAGTCTGCCAGTTCTGCCTCCTCTGCTGTGTGATGTAATTTCCACAGTCTGTGCTGGAGCTCCCTGTCTAGCACCATCCCTCTCCCCTGTGACACTTGGACAGGACACCTCGGGGCCCAGCTGGCTCAGTGAGTAGGCACCAAATGGCACATCTGCCTTGGCACAGAACTCTTTGCTTTCACCTACGAGGCACGTGGGTCCATCTTGTGGCTCTGTTTCATTTCCCTATTAAAGGCAGGACTTCCCTTTGGTGTGAGCGACAGTGGCCTAAACCCAGGAGATGCTTTGGTCTCCAGCATCTGTGTTTGTAGACCTGTGTCTACTCAGGAAGGAAGCTTAAAAACAGCTCTGCTCAGACTGAGCTCAACTCTGTCCAGAGTCCCCTCCCTTCTCCCCCCCTGCTAAACAGCCTCAAGCTCAGAGGTCCTGATCCTAAGGCCTGGGTGGTCACACAGGGTCTGGAAGGACCCCAGGGATGTGGTGTAACTGGCAGTGTCACTCACCAGTGACACAGAAGGACTGGGAGGTGTTGCCTACATGGCAAAGCTGCCTGTAAACAGAAGCTGTTACTAAGGATTCTCCCAGCCAAACATTTCAATGAAACTGAAGAATTACAGATTACCAGGGGTGAGGTTGACATCTTTCCAGCCCACATCCTTTCTCAGGCTCCTGCAGAGCTGCCTGCCCGTTTCTGGTCCCAGGAGATCTTTGACAGCCTGGCTGTGTCAGGTGCTGGCATCACCAGCCCTCCCCTCACCCCAAAACCACACACAGCCAGCTGGACTGGAGCTGACCATGGATGCAAGATGGTAAAGAGGGAGGAAATCATGTCCCTGGCCAGCACTCCCCAGCCCTCAGCTGATGGCTGTGTGCTTGTCCAGCTCTGAGAGCAAGCCCCCAGCAGCAGGTGGTGGGGAAGGTGGAGATATTTTGGCAGGTTTTGCTAAAACCCCTCATTGCTGCCACCTGAGGGTTTCTGAGCTTATGGAAAACGCTGTGGTGCCTGACCCCCCCCCATTCTGTGTGCTCAGGTACACTCTGTGCTGTATGTAGAGAAACAGGGATGGAAATTAAAAATCCACCAGTTGGGTGGATCTTGTTCTTCTCTGTTGGTTTGTCCAAACTGGTTCACAGACCATCCCCTCTGTACTCTTCCATCACATAATATTTAATGCCCATCTCAAGTGCAAGTAACTGATTCAAGCGCTGCTGCCTGGGGCTGGATACTGGTCCCAGTGCAAGTGTGGGCTGGGGATTAGGGTGGGGGAATGAATCTGTGGACATGTGAGCCTTTCAGATGGGTGTGCTCCAGCCCGGGGGCAGAGCAGACACCCTGCCCTGTGCCCGGGGCGAGGTGTGGGGCTGTGGGAGCAGCTCTGCCCGCACGTGGAGGGTCAGGCCGGGCTCTGCCATCTGCGCCAGCTCTGTGCTGACACGATGCTGCTGCGTTATGCAACCAGCCCCTGCCCTCGGGGGGAAATTCATCCTGCGCAGTTCTGCGGAATAGTACATGAAGGGATAACAAACACCGAGGGGACAGTCCTACCCCGCGGCTGTTTGCTCAAACCCAGCTGCCTTCTGCAGCCCCCCTCCCACTCCATCCATGAGTCTGCACCGATGGCTCCATCATGACACAGCTGCAGCAGCCAGGGATGCTCTTACATAACCCAGCCTGGCACATGGAGCGTGGTTGCTTGGCCCAGATAGAGCCCAGCACCCGTCATGTGTTCCCTGCAAACCCAGAGTGTTCCTCCGCCTCACTCGTGGGGCAGCCACAATATTTGGTGCACTTTGCTGTATGGTTTTCCTGGTGTACTTGTGTATTTAAATCAGCCTTCTTCTGGCTGCTATTAAATGTAAATCTTAAATTGGAAACCTGCTTGAGAAGCTTAAAATGGGATTTAGAGCAGGGCCTGAATTCTGCTCTCAGGTAATTTTAGTTGACCGAGAAACTCACGTAACCTCTTCCAACTTATTTGTGGCACTGGTGTGTAGCTTTGCTCTGCTGGGTCATGCAGCAGGTTCTTCCCCAGGACAGTTCAGACCTGCTCAGCCTTGGTTCATGTCATAACCTGAAAAACTGTAACCCTCCCTGACCAGGGAATTGGGTTTTTGCTTATTCTTTCCTATGCCACTGACCTCTTCAGATTTCACTTCGTGTCTCAGCAGCTTTGGCTTTAGTTCTGCCGCAGATGCTGCACACACCTGAGAGCTTCATGCTCTGTTATACTTCCAAAATGCAGATAGCAAATGTCAGTTCTCAGACAGAAAAGTGTTTTTGGCTTGGTTTATGCTGGACACTGGGCTGCCTGAGGTGGAGATAACTCATTATCTCCTTGCTTTTCCCACTGCTAGTGACACTGGTGCGAATAGTTTCAGTGGAGGTGGGCAGCATTTCTGTGGGAGAAACAAAGGTATTCTCTTTTTAATTTTAACACTTCTTCCCTACCTTCTGCAAATGTTTAGATAAAGCCAAGTTTATCTACAGCTCTCTAGAGTTGTTGGCAAAAGCTGCCTTTCAGGCAAAGAGGACAAAAGCCTTTCTAGTACAATTAGGAAGTGGCTGGGTTGTGCTGGGTATCTGCTGATGGGTCTCTTTCTGTGATAGCCCAGCACTGACTGCACTGCCCACTGGGGAGTGTTTCACTCTTCCTTCCCAGTACTGGAAAGCTGGAATGATTCTCTTTTCCTGCAATGTGAACATCTTTCATTCTATGTCACTTTTGTAGTTGCCCTCCAGATTCCCTAGGGATGGTCAGGGGCCTCCCAGAGATGCTGCTGTGGTGGATCCTCTGATGGGGTGGCTTTGTGCAACCCTTAGGGAGGTTGTAGAGGAAAAGGTACAGTGGCAGTGTGGCCTTTTGCTGCTCCCTGCAGTGACACAGGGACCTTGGCCACAGAAATACAAAGGGCAAGTACAGCATCACCCACCACTGACAGTTATGTGTTTAAGAAACTTGGTAGGTTTGATTCACACAGGACATCAAACTACAATGGTTGTGATCGGTGTAGAGGCAGCTTGTTCTTGTAGACTTGTATTCCATGACATTTGCACTGTGGATAAGACAGTTGGTCTGATTTTGGGTGGATAATCAAGATGAATGGCAAGAATCTGTGCAGGCTGCAGCATCTCAGGGGCTGTCATGACCAGGAAGGTGTTCAATAGCTGCAGCCAGTCTGGCTCTCTCCAGCACTCCTCTGTCACTGGGTTTGATTATTCCAGTTTCAGCTGAAAGTGGCTGTTTGTATTTGCATTGTTCTGCTCTTTTTACAACCAGGATCTGATGCTGAACAAGCTTTTCTGCTCACCCTGCATGATGGTGTCTACCCTGGCCAGAGCTCTCTGGTGCTGTGCCCAACCACCCCCAGCACTGCTGATAAGCTGCTGCCCTGTGGAATTTCAGAGCTGAAGGAAGGACAGGGATCAGGGACACAGCAGCAGCTCTGAAAGATGTCAGCGAGCAGGGATTGCTGCATCAAGTTAGGTCTTGGCTGTTAGTATCACTCAGGTCAAGCTTTACTCTCTGGCCTGTTAAAGGACAGCAATTTCATTCCTAAAGCAATCTTGGTTTTGACTTTGGACAGTTTTCAGTGTGTTTTGTGGATCTTGGCATGGACAAAAGCCACAGGACAGTAATAGCAAGATCAGTTCCTCTTCTTCATAGCAGTGAATGCAGCATCACAGGGGCAACCCCATAGACTGGTGACACCCTTCTGGGCAGTGTTGATTCTACTTGGAGTAAAGTGAAGCCCTGAGAGTGACCTGGACCATGGACCATGTTGCCTCTGGCCAACTGTATTGGTGTTTGTGTTTGCTCGCTGTCACCCCTGCTTTGCCTTCTGGGACAGGTCACTGCAGTTGGATTTAAGGATGCACCCAAGGAATGCATCACAAGTATAGATACAGAGCATGATGGAAAGCTCAGGAGATAAATCAGGCACTCAGCTCCCTTCCCTCACACTCTGTGTTCCCACACAGGGGCAGATGACATGGTTAACACAGGAGCTGCTGGGTTATCTCTCCCTCCTCTGCACCGAGTCCTCTCTGACGTGCAGACCCCACTGCCCCTCTGTGTGACCCACACATTGGTGTCATCTTGTGTGCTGGGTGAGGACTGCATGGGCTGCAGGTTCACATCCTGCTGATGCCAAATGAACATTCGAGCTGATTAAAACTATAAGTGGCATCAGTGGAGGGATTAAAAGCTCTTGAACAAGCCCCTGCAAAAACGTGCGTCAGCGGGGTGAGCTCTCCTGTCTCAGAGCAGTGAGCTCAGGGCTGCTCAAGCAAGCACCTTCCCTGATAATGTTCCTACTCCAGGGAAGCACAAACAGAAACCATGCCCTACTTGCTAACGAAGCTGCATCATAGGAGCAACCTTTCAGAAGGATCCTTGTGTGTTTGCCTTGACCCAATGTCTGTGTGCCTCTCGCCTCCTCAAACAAAAAAGCTTTATTCCGATAGCAGCTTGCAAAAGTGGCATCCCTTTGGTTAACCTCTCCTGGAAAGGAGCGCCCATGACCTTGCCTTCTGCTCTGGGCAGCCTTGTCCTTTAGAAATGTGTTCCTCGGGCAGGGATTTCTTTAATGAGATTTCTTAGGGCTTAGGTATTGCAGTAATTTGCTGGGCAGTAGCATTTTTTTTCTGCAACAGGTCTTTCCCACTGCTCCTTTGGTGTCTCTGCAGAGCATCTCGCCCATCCCTGGTGGGGTGGGACCTACTCCTGCTGAATGGAGGAGCTAAATCCACCCCCCACATTTTTTTCCAGCTAACTGCCTGCATTTAGAGCCTATGGACCACCCCACTGCTTCCCAGCACAACCACTGCCCTCAGCTCTGCTGGTGCCTCCTTGAGTTTGGGACATCCTAAAGGATGTATTTTCAGTACAGCCATGACATCATGTGTACATAGGTGTGCTGTTCTTCTGTCCACAGGGAATTTTCTGGGTTGCAGAAAAACTGTGTGGAAAACGCTGGTGGCTTATGTGCAGAGTTGAGCATTCCCATGTCCCTGAGCTTGGAGGACAGGAGAGTGCCAGGGCTGTGGATGAATGGGTGCAGCACCTCTGCTGCTACAGGAACCATGGGGGTTGTTGTCTGTTGAGGCTTTGGCCAAAGCAGGGATTGGTGCAGCAAATCAAACTCTAAACTGAGCATCCTCATGGGCTGAGCTGCAAACCTCTCCTGCTCTGCTTCCAGTTCCATCAACCTGGATTTTACCCACCAAACCTCTCCTGCTCTGCTTCCAGTTGCAGCAGCCTGGATTTTACCCACCAAACCCCTCCTGCTCTGCTTCCAGTTGCAGCAGCCTGGATTTTACCCACCAAACCCCTCCTGCTCTGCTTCCAGTTGCAGCAGCCTGGATTTTACCCACCAAACCTCTCCTGCTCTGCTTCCAGTTCCATCAACCTGGATTTTACTCACCTTTTGCAGAGCCACTTACAGTGCCCGAGCTGCTGCTGACGCAGCAGGCGAGTGGTGCCGGGCACCTCTGGGGTTGCAGCTTGTTCCACCTTTCCTGGTGGAGAGCAGGGAGCCAGCACTCACAGACACGTCACATGGACTCTCAAGGCCAGGCTCTGCTGTGGGTGCACTTGTCCTTGTTCCAGCAGGACTGTGACTGCAGGGAGCTGTGTGGAGTGGGGGTGTGAGGAGATGCTCGGCCCCAGCCAGCCTGTCCCAGCTCAGCCCCTGGCCTGGGGCAGCTGGATGTGTGCTGTCCTTGGCAGTGTGCTCCATGCACTGCTGTCTGAGTCCTGGGAAAAAACTGACTGTAAACTGAGCCCAGTTCCTATCTGGATCAACAGCAAAAGCACTGGAGAGATGTGGCAGCACCTGTTTTGGGCTAACTGGGATAAGTGGGCAGGTGGCAGGAGCGGTGTCCTACACTCCTTCCATCTGGGAGCCAATGCCTGCAGTCACAGTGTAGTAACTGAGACAAACCACTGACAAACCTGACCTCTCTTTCTCCTCTCTTGTTTTTTCTTGCAGATTTATTTACCAGGGACCCATAATCTCCATTATTTACATGCAACAAGGAAGTCAAAGATAAGGGAAGATGATGATACAGAAGATCCCTGATCTACAGGATCTCTGGCAATGTGAAATGTTTGGGTGTTACTTTTTTGTGTTGTGGGGGTGTGGGAGGGGGCTGCAGGGGCCTGTGGAAGAACACAAGCTGGCAGCTGTCACACTCACGAGACTTTGGAACAAGATCCAGAGAGCAGAGCTGCCCTTGTCCAGCCCTCCCCGTGTCTCCTGTGCTGCTGTTTGACTCAGTAGGTGTTTGTTTCTAGGAATGTGGTTCCTTAAGGAAGTGGGAATCAGCAGCCTGATGGTGAGGTGTGCTGCCAGGCACCAGCTCAGAGTCCAGCTGGGCACAGTTTTGGGTTCAAAGCTATTGATTTTGCCTAGGGAAAATGGGAACAAAGTGATGGCTAGGTTTGCATTGGGAGTGCAGTGCTTTAGGAAAAATGAGTCTCTTGGACCACACGTTGAAGCAGCTAAGTAACTTCATAGGCAGGCAGCTCCTGAATAGGTGGTGCTGCCCTGGCTTGTGAGCAGCTGACATTAGGATAGAGTAGGATAAACAGGCTGGAAAGCCATTTGGCAAAGCAGGTCTTCCCAAGCTGGATTTCATGATCATCTTTGTTACTGTCTTTCTATACAGATGGAACTGGGGAGCTGCTGAGGACATTTTCAGGTTGACATCATCTGAGTACAAGAGAAACAGAAAGCAGTCCACTGCTCTGATCCATTTACTGCCAAACTTCAGTCGATAGGAACAATGCTGTGGAGAGAAGGAGGTTTGGCCTTAATTGGCCATGGGCTGGATTTTAGCCTCCCACAGGACACTTTTCCCTGCTAGCTAATGATCTCCAGGAAGCAAAAGGCAATGCTGCTGTTCACAATGGGTTACGGTACCGTTCAGGTCAGGAGATTGGAACCTCAGGCCGAGCACTTAAAACTCGATTTCCTTGCCTATATTTAAAGCAAAACTCCTGTTGCGGGGCTGCCCTGTGTTGAGGATCTTTAGACTTTGCTCACTGTAAATGCAATGTAAAGCACCACCTCTTCTCCACCCTGCAGCTTCTGAACCACCTAAAATGTTTCTCTGCAGTTGAAATCACCAGTAGTGGTTTGGGAAGTGGTCTGGTCTGACCCAGCATCACTGCTGAGCTGTCAGGGTGCTCAGTCTGGAGCTAACCATGGCCACAAGCAGGAGAGGGTCCCCCTGGTCCCCTCATCCCTGGCAGCTTTCCTCTGCCATCACTGGAAGGTTCCTGACTGGCAGCACCTCCATGTCTCTCCTCAGTGTACTATGCTGACCTCACAGGAATGAATGGAAATGGAGGAAATTCAGGTGGGCTCAGGCAGAGCAGGGAAAGGAAGGAGGGGTGTCTTTCTTCTCTTCCATCTTTTCCAGGACACAAAGCTAAAGCTGTGGCTGCTGGAAGGCCTGGTCCTTCTTAGGAGGACCAGGAGGCTCCAAACTGGCTGTCTGTGACTTGTGAAGGTTTGGACAGACAAATGCACTGCCAAACCCTTGTTCTCACACTGTGCTTGTGTTTGTCCCTAGGTATGCTCCTGTGAGCTGCAGCTGGGTGGGATTCCTGCAGCTTCCTGTGCTGCATCCCACAGGAAGGGGAGAGTGAACCATTTAGCCCACAAGTGCAGTGTTAGTGCCCTGATCACTGGACCATCCTTCCTCCACCTGGCAGAGCCTTTGCTCGTGACTGTTAGGGCTGTTCTAACCGAAGCCTGGCCTGAACGGGTGCGGTGAGAGGGCAGGAGGGGAAGCTGGAAGGCAGTCACTGGATTGCCCTGTTCTTCTCAGGACAGGAGTCCAGCAGGCCCTGGGAGGGTCAGCCCTCTTGGTCACTGCTGTTTCAGGCCATCTTCAAACCACACGTCTCCACCTCAGCTTTTGCATTGCAGATGTGTTTTTCAAGCAGCTTGATGTTAGTGAGCTAGACCGTAGTGCCTTACTTAGGATTTAGCAAACACTTCCAAGGAGGAGTCCTAGGGCTGCTAGCCTTTGGCCAATGTGGATGTTTCCCTGAGTAGTTTGTCCTTTTAAGAGCATTTCTCTGATTTTGCTGCTGTTTGTGCTCAACTCCCTGGACTATATAGGAACCTGCCTTGTGTTTACAGCTCCCCACATCTCTCCTTCAGTTACTTTGGCCCAGACCAGCACTCCCTCTAGAACAATGTGGGAACAGGGAACAGCTCAAACCTGCATATGCTGTGAGATGGGGAATTTTAGGCTTCTCTTCCCAGGTGGGTCTTTTTGGCCTCACCTGCCCAGCCCCTGCAGGCCAAACTTCTTCCTCTGCTGTGGATGTTTGGCACTAGGATGCACTGCTGGGAAAATCCAAGTTCAAGAAAGCAGCACCAAGCCTGTGGCCCATTTCCCAGCTCAGGGCCATGCTGTCTGTCTCTTCCTGGCTGCAGTGATGCTGAGCATCCAGGTGCTGGGGGTAGCTGGTTAGTGTGGGGGGAGCCAAGCCACCCTTGCAGAACTCTCTGGGCTCGTGTGGCCCCAGATGGTGCCCACACCAGGGGAGTGATTGTATGAAACTGTTTACTTCTGATTTTGCTGTTTACAAGAGGGGTGTGGGGTGGGTGGGGGGAACAAGCCAAGCCTCAGGAGGATTGGGAACTGTGTTATCTGCACCAGCCTGCAGCAAGGCCGACACCACCGGCATCATGCAGGTGTCATGGGGATTTCCTGGCCAGCTTTGGTCCATGGGGAGGAAAGCAGAGGTGGAGCTGTAGCCTAGAGGGGTTAGATTAGCTCCCCTATATCCCCTTGCTGCTGTCTTTGAGGTTCAGCAGCGCTAGTGACAGATAAGAGTTACCCCTGTGGTCTTCCTTTACTCCTCAGGACCCAGCTCCTTCACATATCACAGGCTCCCAGAGCCTTTCTGGAGCAATAAGATGTAAAACAAGTGTTACCATCATCGTGGAAATCCTCCGTTGTGTGCAGTGTGTCTCCGTATGCAGTAGGAGTCTGGGTTTAAGCCTGCCAAGCATCACAGGGGAGCTGCTGCAGGGCACAAACTGGGCTTTGTTTCCCTGGGCTTTCTGCAGGTCAGAACAGGGAAACACGCTGCTGCTTTCCTTCCTTACCCCAGGCCTGTGCTGCCCAAGCCTCACACTACAGCTGCCTGGGGCAAGGGTGCTCCTGATCCCCCTTTTTGGCAATGCTGGCATGGGATGGGTGAGCAGAGCTCAGTGCTCCACTTCTCACAGCCCCCATCCCATCAGCCAGGGCAGCATTGGGAAAGCAGAGCCCCCATTTCCTTTGCACCAGGGGGCAGCCACTGCTTGTGCCACTGGTGTGGGAGGAGTTGTGCCAGTGGCTCCTGTGCTCCTCAGCTGGTTACAGGCACATTCATGTGGGCCCTTCATGTCCAGAAGCATTTTGCAATTCAGGGCAGGGTGTCTGGTGGGTGTAGCTGGAAGGGAAGTGCAGGGAGCTGCTCTCTTCCAGCTGTGATCTGCCAGATCATTTCTCTGCAGCCTGTCCAAATGCTTTTAGCCCTGAGGGTGTCTAGGCTGCTGGAAGAGCTCGCAGGGGCCACACATGAGTGCCTGGTGTTCCCAGCCTGGTGCCTGTTGCCAGCAGGGACCTTCAGCTCACTCACCCAGCAGAAAACAGCAACTTTGCAGGGTGAGCTGCTTCACTACCACACCAGAGAGGTTCTGAGTGACCCCCAGGACAGGGGCTCATGGCTGCCCCTGCCCTGCTGAGGGCTCTCCTGGCTCCCCACAGCTCCTGTGCTGAGTTAGCAAGAGCAGAAGGCTTAAACCCAGACTCCAAACTAAAGATAATATTAGTAAACGAGTCTGTATTTTTCTTTTTTTTTTTTTTTTTTTTTGCACAGAAGCTGGTTATCTAGGACCTATGTGTGAACAACTTTATATAAATATTTTTTGTACTTGGTTTCCTTGGGTTGGTATGAAACATTCTATTTAAGTTTTTTGAACACTGTGGATCCCCTGATGTGTATGAATGGCAGAGGCTTTGTAAATTAAGGGACGTTTGTGTGAATAAAGCTATTTGATGGGGTTGAAAAGCCACAAACAACTTGAAACATGAGCTCTGTGTGTTTGTCCTTTGCTGTACTGGCAGCAGTGGGGTTGAAAGGGTGTCCCTGGCAGCAGTGGGCAGACCAAGACCCTAAAGCAGCTCTGGCTCCATCCTGGAGGGCAGGTCCAGCTAAGCCTGAGCTGGAACTGGGCTGGCTGGACTGACCTCGGGGCTTAGGGCACCAAACCAAGGCACTCTGGCCACTGCCAACCAGAATATGTCTCAGTGGCATGTGGCACTTGTGGCCCTTTATCCTTGCCCTGGATTAGGATTAACCCCGTTCTAGATGCAGATGCCAAGTAGGACACTGTGATTACTGGGACGGGCAAGCTTGCTTCCCCCTCCTCTGGCCACAAGCTGGCAACCCTGTGGTTCAGGAGGCAGAAATGACCAGCAACCCCTCACCCAGCTGGCTGCCTGCAAACCCCACAAGGAGAACAGCCTGCAGAACTGCCACTTGAGTAGCCACAATCAGCTTCTCCCTTTGCACAGATCCTCTGCCCCGAATGCCAGGCGCCGGTGCCAGCAGCTGGGAGCCTCCAGTGCCACAACTGCTACCCACGGTGAGAAAAGCATCACGAGGCTGAGCTGCGTCCTGCAGCCACGAGGAGTTTTCCTGTGGGTGATGTCCACGGGAGTGCAGCAGCGTGGGGCTCCCCGTGGGACACGGATGCGCTGGCACCCACCAGCCCTTGTGGAGCGGACCCGCAGCACTGCCGGGACGTGCCGGGCAGCCAGTCCTCCCCTGGGCCGCCTGCCCGTGGGCTCCCCCCGCACGGCCTCAGCATTGTGCTCCTTAATCGCTGCCGACAGGCTCCTCAAATGGATGTTTTCAGCCCACTGGGGCCGCAGGGAGGCTGGTCGACCACAGCCCGAGCGATGCTGGCGAGGGGGCCCCAAGCTGTGTTTCCTCCTTCTTCCTGCTGGGTTATCTCGGGCATTGACTGCTCAGCACCCGCTGTGAGGGGCAGCCTGGGGTGCTCAAACATCCCCCCCAGTCCTGCCCAGAGCATCCTGCCTGCAGGCAGGGAAGGGGCTGCATTGGCTCCAGTCACACCGGCCCCCAGTGTGGGACAAGCCCCAGGACTGTCCCTGTCATCGTGACCCGCTGTGCTACACTGCTGTTCCCCACCAAATACAGTCACCCCCAAAACCTCTGTCACAAATGCTGTGGCACCTCCAAGAACAGTTCTACTCTTGTGACTTCCCCCTGCTTTAAGCTACACCGGTGACAAAGTTCATGTTGCCTCCAGGCTCATGGCATCTCGCTCGACTCTGTGACCAGGCACAAAATGTGTTCCATGAGCCCCACAGGCCCTGACTCCCAGCTCAGCCCTTGCAAATGGGATGAAACTGAACCCCAGCAGGAGCTTGGGGTTGGAGCCTGGCTCACCTCTCACGTGTGCTGCAGGTGAGGAGCTGGTAAGGGCAGGTGACCACACAGCACAGCAGAAAAGCACTATTAATGAGGAAGTTGATGTCAGTCACCAGGAGAGATGTTTCACTCTGGATTTGCTCTCTGGAGACCTGCTATTTCATATGCAAAGAGGTTTGCTGAACTCCACAAAGGTGCTTCAAGCATTTGACAGCTGACAGGATCCCCAGGAGCCACCAGCTCTGTGCTCCTCAGGGACCATGGGGCACATGCTGGGGCAGAACTGCACGTGGCAAAGGCCACGGCCAGGCAGCAGGGCCAGGGTGGGAAAGGCAAGGACAGCCCTGGCAGCCACTATGGCCATGAGGCCAGTCACAGCCCTGAGTGCCAGCACCAACCTCACCTGGAGGGTTTAAACCTCAGAGTAGATGTGAGGTGCTGCTGCAGCCATGGCTTTGCTCTCCCTCTCTCTGCTTGCACACAGGAACATTTTCAAGAGCCTCCTCTCCACAGAGGCTGTGTTTTACAGCTGAGGCACTAAGTCATTCATCACAAAACATAAATCCAGATTTCTTTTAAGATCTCCTGAGCTCCTCAAGCAGCAGCACTTCAGCAGCCCTCGCTGGGCCAGAGCGACACCAGCTGCTGCTTGAGCTGGTGGGAGGAGAGCAAGGTCCATTGTATGGGCAAAGGACATTCATTTGCCTCATCCCCACACTGATGAATTGCTCCACTTGCCCGTGTCAGGCTCCAGCACAGCAGAGGATGAACAGCTAAAGCTGCACTAAGCCCACACACTCCATTGAGCCAGGAGATGACTCAGAGGAGGCTCTCGGTGCGGGCGGAGGTGACAATGAACACAAGGGACAAAAGCTGAGTGAGCAGGGGACTCTGCTCTCACCACTGACCCACTGTGAGGCAGAAGCCCTGACCCTCCTCACCCTCTGTCCCCCTGTTCAATGGCAGGACAGCCACAAAGGTTCTTGGACAGCCCAGCCCCAGTGCTCTGACACACGGCAGACGAGGCCATGGATGGCACCAAGCTTAAATACATTTCATCCCATTGCACACAATATCCCAGCAGCTCACCAGCTCAGACAGGAGCCCCCCATGTGTGTGGAACGGCTGCAGTCCCCATCCCTCCTTCTGCACCTCCAGCCCTGCCCAGGCAACCCTGGGGATGGAGCAGGGGGAGCAGCATCGCCCAAACCACCTCCTGATTCCACCCAAGGCTTCAAAAAATGTAATTTTTGCCTGCAATCTGTCTCAAATGCATTGTGCAGTCTGCCCACCCCACGCACACCCCACCTGCCTCTCCCCACAGTAGGAACTGCACGTGGCAGCAGCAGCAGCTTCACTCAGAGCCACTTCGGGTCAGTCTCAGTTCCCTGAACAAAAGCTGCTTCCCCAGCTGATTTCCTGACAGAGCTGATGGCCTGTGCCCTCTGGGGACCCAGAAATTGCTGGGAGGCAGCAAAGGAGGGAATTAAGGACTATTTCCTCTTCCAGAGATAAGATCTCTAAACAAGTTTCTCAGCCAAGAACTTTTAATTTTTTTTTTTTTTTTATTTTACAGGTTTTGCAATGGAATCTTATTCTCCAGAATTGCATCCGCCTCCAACCCCACTTAGAGCTGCCAAAGCCTGCACTTCCCCCGGGACCAGCCTGCAAGTGGCAGAGATGGATGGGATGACATGGGCATGACTTCACCCTTCTGTCCTGCTGCTGGAGCCAGGGGCTCTCAGGATTCCCAGAGGGAGCCCCCCCTGCTCTGGCCCTGTGCTGCAGCCCCAGGGGCTGTCAGGATTCCCAGAGGGAGCCCCCCCTGCCCTGGCCCTGTGCTGCAGCCCCAGGGGCTGTCAGGATTCCCAGAGGGAGCCCCCCTGCTCTGGCCCCATCCAGCCCCCTGGATCCACCCCCCAGACCAGAGCCATGGGGTGCCACAGCCCTGCCCCAGCCTCGGGGCTGGATGAGGCCCCAGGGAGAGCACTCCCGAGAGCAGCAAGACAACATCAAAGCCCAGCATCACTCCAGGCTCTGACTCTGCTCCCTCCGGACAGATCCAGCCCCACAGTCACTCCTGTTAACACAGGAAGGGCGAGTTTCTGTGCTCGTGTGGAAGGTGCTCCTGCCACCCCTGAAAAGCTTTCTGGGAATCAGTGCAGGCACTAAACTGGCTGTGCAGAGTTCACCTCCCTTCTCCACAAACCCAAGCAGGTCATTTTCTCTCTGTGAACCTCAATCCCTCCTGGAGGCACAGACATGCCCCAGTCCTGGCCCTTCGCACAGACAAATGCTTCTCAAACCACTGTAGCATTCAAGAAATAAAAGCCCTGCCTTGCTCCTGCCCTGGCAGTTTGCAGTCCCCCTTGCTTGTAGGCTGTTGTGGGATCAAACGCTTCAGGCTGATTTATCCACGGGAGATGGAAGCCCAGACAGATGGGAGGGAGCACAAGCCCAGCCGGGTGATAAATCAGCAGGGCAGGCAGAGCTCTGCGGCTGTGGCAGTCCCGTTCCCTGGGGAGGGCAGACTCCAGCTCCCCGGGGGTGACATTAGCCAGAGCACAGGCTCAGCAAGCTTCCCACTCCCCGCCTTTGCTCTTCCACATCCAAGGAAACGTGATGCCCTTGGGAAGTTCCCTGGAAAAAGGGGAAGCACACTCGCTGGGATGAGGCTGCCAGCAAGGGATGTCTCCTGGGATCCGGGACAGGACAACTCGCCTTGAACTTACGCTCAAGGACGTCTGTCTTGCAAAGCTCAGCACAGCGCAAAGAGATCCGAACGGGCTTTTGATGAGCTTCCAGCAAGATAAAGGAGCTCCCCTGACCCCGCTCCATCTTCCCTGAGCGAGATTATCAATAAAGCAGCTGCAGCCTGTGGCTCGGACGGGTTCTCGGCTCTCATGTCCACACGTGCTTAAATGAATGTCACCGCCGGAGAAAGGAGGGGTGTCCATTCCAGGGGTCCCCCTTGGTGCCAAGACTTGTCCGGGATGTCCATCCATCAGCAACTTCTGAAGAAATACGGGACTCTTAGCCCTGCGTGATCGAGGCTCAGACCAGAGAAGATTTTTGTCCCAGACCAGTCTCCAAAACCCCAAATTTATTGACCTGCTCTATGCAAACAGCCACTACAAACTCTGGCACCGTCCAGGCTTTGGGGCTCCCTCCTCGGGTGCCTTTAGTGGGTGTAATGAGGTGGAGATAATTACTGCCTCGGGACACAATTAACTCTTTCCTGCCCTGGTCCAGCTGGGGCTTTTGCATCCCACAAGAGCAATTCCCTCCCTCCTTCCCCCGGGTTCCTTAGAAAACTTCAATTCCTCTTCCTTCTCCAAGTGAGCCTCTGAATCAGAGTCTGACGAACACCACGAGTTCACTGATGTGTGGCTGTGATTTAGAGTTGGAATATATTTGGAATGTATAATTTATTTCAGGTATCTGAGGCACCAGTTAAACTGGGAGCAAGCAGTGAGTAAATCAGTCATACCCTTGTGATGATGGGGGCTGGAGCCTTTATGTTGCTCTAAAAATCCTGCTTCCACGCAGCCAGGTGAATATCATGAAGGATGGGTACTACTTGGGGCTGCAGGGATAACTCAGGTACTCTGGGGGAGATGATGCTGGGA